AAGAAACAGAGTAGGCAAGTAGGGCTGAGGCCCAGCCAGGGAAGTTCTCTAGGCTGTTGGGATCCCAACAGTGTTCCAGCAACCAAGTAACCACACAAATGAGCTGAACAATACATGACCCTGTGTGTGATGGGGCCAGAGGTATGTGAACCCTGAGTGGAGCCTCAGCTGGGATCCTGAGGGCTGGCGCTTCAAACAAATTACCCAAAGATCTTAGAGTTTATGAAGCCTTCATTTGGAACTGACATAACTTCCAACGGAGGCTGCACCCAGCTGTGACTCTTCCCTTGGGAACTCTGCTAGAAAGAACCCATGACCTGATCACATCAGAGAGCTCAGAAGGAAAGCAGACAAGGGCAAGTATAGAAGCTGTTGTTTGCGGTTTTCACCAAAGATAGGCACAGTGCTCACAAATATAGGCATGTCACTGAAGTAATTGAGACAGGCAGTAGTGACATTTGTCAGAGTGTGTATGGTCTGAGTCTGGACTGGAAACGAATGCCTGTCTCATTTACAAAACAACAACAAAAACAAGTTGGGTGCCAGTGGTACGTGCTTGTAATCCTAGCTACTCAACAAGCTGAGATCTGAGAATGGTTCAAAACCAGCCCAGGCAGGACAGACATGATATTCATATCTCCAGTTAACCAGCAAAAAGCTGGAAGTAGAGATAGCATGCTAACCTTGAGCAAAACCAAGCTCCAGGACAGTGCCCAGGCCTTGAGTTCAGCCCCAGGACTGGCAAAAAAAAAAAAAGAAATTACACCCAGAAAATATAAATAAACACTGAGGACTTCATTAGATTTTGCTGATGTTAACACATGTTCAGTAGTTTATTTTCTTTGGTAAAGAATGCAAGTTACATATAAGCTACTGGATGCTTTCAGAGATTAAAACAAGCAGCCACGCATCCAGAGTGTTGTATCTACAATAGCTACTGTTCTTATATTTCTTTTAGAATGCAATTATCATGCTCAGTGAGTGGGGGAGAGTAAAGATCATGAGGTTAATGGAGCCCACCTTTCATTTTTAGCCCATAAATAATAAATGGAATATAATATGCAAAATGAAAACCACATCCTATAAATCATTGTATTTTGGATGTGTTTTTCATAGGACCTTTGAGTATATGGCACTGACTATGGCCAGAATAGCTATAGTCGAACAAGTTCCTATGGCACCGGCTCAGGGAGGAAGTGGCAGTTTGCATCTATTAAGTTGATATCAGTCGATAGTAAAATGTTCAAGAGATTTCTCATGACATTTTCAAATCAGATTACTGTACACTCAATTCCAAATTTGAAGAGCCTAGGACAGAATGATTTATATGCAGAAAGCTTCTTGAGCTTTATCTGATAAGTATTGACAAAGGTAGCTGCATAAAAATTCAAATCAAATACAGATTCACACACATTCTTTTATTTCCAGTATGATTAGCCAACAGAACAGTACGTGTAGATAGAATTACCTCAGATCAGGCTATGACTAAGAAATATCTCTAGGCAAGATTCTGCTGCTATCAGTTTCCCTAACAAAACACAAAACAAAACCCAGAGAATTTCCTGCCAACGAAATAGCTGAACAGGGGTCTCAGCCCAACATAGTCTAATCAGTGCTCTCATTCAGTCTTTCCCAAGGGATCGACTGAACAATTCTCCCTCTACCTGGCATATCAATTGCTCCAATGAACCATTTCTCTCTAGTAATAGAAAGAAAAAAAAGTTTTTAAAGCTTAGTGTGGCTGCTTGTTAGATCATCATTAACTTGAACTAGGGCCATGGGTTTTATAAGATTTATTTGATAAATATTTTTGAATAAAAAAAGGATTATAGTGCACTCATAAACACTTTTAATCACTTCTCCAAAATAATGAAAATGAAGAACTACTTTCCACTTGACACAGCTTGGGTAGCACAATACACGCAAGTCCAAGACTTGCACATACCTCTTGCTCCACTAAGAGTTTCAGGAGTATCTCAGTATATCCCTGTGAGGAGGAAATTTTTTAGCTTCAAATAAAAAGGGCAGCAAAAGCTGCACATGGTGGTGCAGATCTATAATTCCAGCTACTCAGGAGGTAGAAATAGGAACATTATGATTTGGTGCCAGCCCCATATCACCATTCTTCCCATACAAAACATAAAAAAGTTACCAAGACCCTTTCTCAAAAAACAAGCTGTGAGTGTTTGTATATGCCTATAATCCCAGCTACTCAGGAGGTGAATCTAGGAGAACTGTTGTTTGAGGCAGCCTGGGGAAAAACATGAACCCTTAGCTAAAAATTAAATAAAAGTAAAAAAGGGCTGGGGACAAGTTCAGGTGATAGAGCACTTGCCTACAACTTGTATATCAATACAAAAAATAGCAATGACAGTACTTATATTTAATATCAACAATTACTACCATTTATCTGGTTTTGATCTGCCAGATTTAATTTATTTCCTTGAAATTATCTTGCAGTCAGGGACAAAATGACATCTAATTAAGGATTCTGATCTAGCAGCACACAACAGCCAGATCTAATATTTTTCCATAGGCACAAGTTTATAGTATGCATTCCCAGTGTAATTAGTTTGGGCTTTGAAATATATCTATGCTGGAAATGTGGCTTGGTGGTAGAGTGCTTGCTTAGCGTGCATGAAGCCCTGGGTTCAATTCATAGTACCCCATAAACAGATAAAGCCAGAAGTGGTGCTGTGGCTCAAGTGGTAGAGTGCTAGCCTTGAGCGAAAGAAGTTGAGGGACAGTGCCCAGGCCCCAGTTCAAGCCCCAGTACTGGAAAATAAAATAAAATGAGCATATCTATACGTCCCAAAGGCTTCCTTTGTTCAAATATTATATATTATGAGAACCATCAGGTACTTACTTCTTTATCTATAACCAGAAGTTTTACATCTGTTTCATTTGAAACTGAAGGAGGCCACTTGACATTGGTTAAAAGGCTGAGTGGCTGAAAAATAAAAGGGAGTGTATTCTTTCTAGAAATACTTCAGCTCTGACATTATTCTTGTAACGAAATACTGGGAGAGCTTAGCATGATGAGTGCACATTACTTTAAACACATGATTTGATTTTTGTAATTGGTTCATTATAATTGTACAGATTTTGGGGTACAGAAAGTTATTTTTTATTCAAGCATATAATGTGTGGTGATTAAACCCAGGACATCCATTACTCCCAACATTTATCATTCCTTCGTGCTGAAATCATTCAGAACCCTTCCTTCTGGCTCTTTTGGTAATTATAGTCATCCTACTGAGCTATAGAACATTGAACTTATTCCACTAAACAAAGGATTTATGAAAGATACATCTGGAGTTTACAGAATTAGTACAGACTAGCTTGGACCTTGCTTTCCTATGACCCGCAAGCCTCAGCAGCATTCGTTTGTGCAGTATACTGTACAAAACCAGAACACAATTGAGTCGTTCTTTGTTTTGGAATACTTCACGTGGCAGTGCAGAGGCATGACCATGAGCATGCATAATGCTCCTACTTGCCTCCTACCTGTAGTCCCCATTTTATTACTAAGAAAAAGGGCACCTAGTCCTCAAGGCAGTAAGCTTGAAGTGGAGAAGCTGACACAGATGCATGCTGTTCAGCAAGGAGGCTGGTGCTAGTGAAAACATTTACCAAATTTAATCATTTTTATGATTGCAAAATTGAAAAGGAGGGCTGAGGATGTAGCTCAGTGATAGATGTCTAACATGTGCAAGGCCCATGAAATTGAAAAAACATGTGCAATTCAGAACTGATATGGGGTATCTTAGAGAGGGAATGCAGCATGACTTCAAAATCAATTTGAGGACTCAGGGTATGGCAAGCCCAAGGCCTACAGTTCAAGCCAAAGGGAGGGAAGGAGAGAGGGAGGAAAGGAGGAAGGAAGGAAGGGAAGGATAAAGAAAGGAAGGGAATAATAGAGGAAGGAGAGGAGACAAGATGAGATAATTGGAGAGGAGAGGGGAGAGGAGAGGAGGAAAGGAGAAGAGGGGAGGAGAGGAGAGGGGAGGAGAGGAGAGAGGAAGAGAAGAGAGGGGAGGAGAGGGGAAGAGAAGAGAGGGAAGGAGAGGAGAGGAGGGGAGAAGTGAGGAGAGGAGAGGAGACGGGAGGGGAAGGGGGGAAGGGAGGAGAGGGGAGGGAAGGGGAGGGGAGGAGAGGAAAAGGAGGGACATGCTGGACTAAGGAGTATGACTCTCTGCCTTGTCTAAGGCCCTGGGCTTAATGCCCATTACTGTCAAAGTATGTAAATAATATAGACTCTAGTTTGAAAAAAATTAAACACCAGTCCATATGACCTACAATTTTCTTTCCTCTACTTGACAAACCCATGGCTTGATCTTCATACAATGAAGGCAGACCAGACATTGAATGAACAGTAATTCATACTCTCATGTCTGCTACTAATGACTAATGTATGCAGAAGTGAATTAGTGAGCTGCCTGAGCCCCTTCACCCAGGTGGAAGGTGAAAGGATCTCATCTGCTGTCCTCTATGGCTCCACTAACACTGGTCACCACTGTCCTGGGCAAGACCCTGTGCTCCACAAAGGACCACTGCAAGTCCTCAGGGAACCTCCGGCACTACAGTGTCCAGCTTGTGCCAGGCTAGCCACCTCTCAACCAACACCTATGAAAAATTCCAAAGCTGTCCATCCATAATTGTGCCTAATTAACCTAACAGTGGGGACACCAGGGCAAAGTCCAAGTTTGACCATTTGTTTGGAAAATTGTTAGAAATATATTTTTGCCCTTTTTGGCCTTCTCCGTTACCAATAGAACATCTGGATTTCATTTTGTTGGCATCCTCACAGCCAGTGCCTTAGTACAGGGTTTATTCATCCATCTCTCAACTGTTCTCCAATTTCATTTTGGTTTTTCTCTGCTAATATAATCCCCACATCCCCACCAGTCACTTCTCTAAATGATAACTCAATCTATCTGTTCCCTTAGTATAACCCTTCAGTGGGTTCCGCTGTCTACAGAATGTACGTCTAGACTTACCGTTGTTTCTGGCGGCAAACCTCATCTCAACAGACATTCCAAAGACTAACACAGCAAATTGTTCCTTCCCAAGACCTGAAGACTTAGGGACTTCCTGAAGCAAGGCTCTCCAAGTCTTCACTAAATGTAGAAATGGCAAGTGTGATTATTACACGCAGGCTGCTTTCTTAGATTAAATCTTACCCCTTTTACAGAAAGTATTTTTGAAAGCATGAAAATTTACATGAAGAATCTAAAAGAGCTCCTTGGATCAGAAGGTATTTTGGTACCTTCTGTTTGTTAATACAGCCTTACCACCAAAGCTTGTAGTGTGCAACTCACTCATTTAACTGGTCAATCATTCACATAAGAATCATTTGTACACCTTAATTTGTGTCCTGTATGCTGAAAGCCTACATATCGGGTTAGATGTTAGCTCTAAACTGCTAAGAAAAAAACATGTGCGTTTTTTTTTCTAGGCATTTCAGTTACTTAAATACTTAGTGTTATCTTAGCACAGAGATAATTACAGGATTGTTTCCCTGGGGATTAAAACCAAGGCCTCTTATAGGCTAAGCATATGCTCTACTGTTAAGCTCTACACTCAACCCCAGATTTCATTATTTATTTTTGAAAAATGATCTTGAGAGACTGAGAAATTGAGAAAATGTTTACCCCAACGAAGTTCACCTTCCTCAAACTCACTTAAAATGTCAGAGTTGGAATTCTTGCTCACACTTGGATTACTTGATATGACCTTTACAAGTCTGGCCAAACTCAAGTAGGATTCATGTTGTACATGACCTTGTCTCAAAACCACACTTTCAGCTTCAAACATGCAAAGGTGTATCAAAAGCATTTTGCAAACACGGCTAATTTGAAGTCACTGGTGACAAATGAAAAACAAAATCTTGTAAATGCCCTGTTGTAATATTTGATCTTGGAAATAAAAAGTTTTCAGTGAAAAAAAAAGAAAAACAAAATCTTGTCCTTTGTGTCTCTAAAGGAATTTTCCTTTTGCTAAGGAACAATTACCATCTCCTATCTATCTGCACACCCTGACAACAGGGAGCTGAGACACACTGCTCACTGGAGTAGAAGTGAAGCCTGTGTGGTGCAGAAAGTAGGTGCTAGTTGTGTATAGACTGAGTGAATTTATGAAGAGGCAAAAGGAAGTGTTGCATGACCACAGAGTAGAAGGTCCTCATAAATGAATCTCACATGTGAGCCCAGTTATTTTATAAACAGAAGCATTTCTTTTTCAAACTACTACTGCTGAATTCATGATATAAGGCAAGGTTTATGGATTTCTGGGAAATAAATCTGGTAAGGATTAAACACACCTTTAAGTGTGTTTAGGGACAGTTTTGTAAAGCTTCTACTTCCTCTTTTTTGTAGGTAGCCAGAAGTTGATAATGGCCCATTTTGGTTTATGAAACCAATGAAACCTGGTAAACTTAGCAAACTCACAAGTCCACCTATGGTGTTTGATTAAGAACACAGGGTTCCTAAGCATAATTCTTATTAGGTGTGCTTTAGGCCAGGCATTTCATCCTGAAAGGCTTTCCAGACTATTTTGGTGATGGCTATCTGCAAACAGCACTGTGAGGCTAAATGTGAACATCACTGACTTTATTTTTCTTATGAGTGTTTTACTTGGTGAATTCTGGAACAGACATGTTCTATTGAAATATTTGGAAGTCTGTATCATTTCAGATTATTAGCTAGTAATTATGTTATCCCAACCCCTTTCTTCCTTGAAGAATAGCAATTATAATTTCTTTTTTTTAAGTTTTGGTGCCATTTATTTAATTAAAGCAAAATAATTTCTTGAGTTCTGCAGTTTCATCCTTCTTAATATTTCAACATACTTCACAATTAGTATTATAATATAATCAGTATGATGTGAATTCATTCATCCTTAAATGAATTCTTTGCTCATGTTTGGCAACATTTTTCCGCCTTCTTTAACATTGACATATTATTTATCTTCCCTTTTCTGTTTTACTCTTTCTTCTTCCTCCTCCAGTTTCCCCTCATCTTCCTTTGACTTCACTTTAGTTTTAGATTCTGATGGTTTTGCACATATAAATTATGCCCTTGCAAACATTTATTAACAGCATGTTAGTTTATACAATAGAAGAACATAGCAGTTTTCATATGATTTTATTATATTACAAAATGATATTATTAGTTTATATATTTCTTTAGTGTATGGATTGATGTAGGTAAAATTCAAAATCTATTTTTGGAGACATTTTTATACCAGTATATGATATGTCATTTATGAGTAAACAATCCATCTGTACCTTGTTTATAATATACCAATGGTTAAGATTGCAAATGTAATTTTGATCTCAGTTATTTGTATTTATGAATTTTAAAAATCTTTATTGTAAAGGTAATGAACAAGGAAATTACAGTTACATAAGTATGGTAAGGAATACAGTTCTTTTAAAACAGTATTACCCCATCCCTCATTTTCTCCCACTTACCCCTCCCTACTTCCCCTAAAGTTGTAAAGTTTGTTTCCAACATAGTGTTAAGTGAGTATCAATGGTGCATTAGTGCATCTTTTGTCCTGTTGTTTCTGTGGTTCCCTTTCCCTTCCATGGATTGGATAAATTATATAATATATATATATGTATATATATGGGCACATAAACTAAAACAGAAAGAAGGAAAGAAAGAAAGAAAGAAAGAGGAAGGAAGGAAGAAAGGAAAGAAAGGAAGAAAGAAAGAAAGGAAGGAAGGAAGAAAGGAAGAAAGAAAGTGGAAGAGGAAGGAAGGAAGGAAGGAAAGAAAGGAAGAAAGAAAGAACTACATACAGGACATAACAAGAACCTCTTGTTGCCAATTCTTGGAGTTTATGTTGATACACTTCATTATATATGGTTCTCTGCACTTAGCAATTGGGCTATTGAGATCCCCTGTTAAGAATATCCTAGACATATTCTATTATTACAAATGAGGGAAAACATGCAACCTACTTTTCTTTGGGCCTGGCTTACTTTGCTTAATATAATTTTTTCCAGGTCTTTTCATGTCCTTACAAATGGGGCAATGCCATTCTTTCTGATGGAAGCATAGAACTCCATTGTGTATATACACCACGTCATCTTAATCTATCCACCTTTTGAGGAGCATCTGGGTTGGTTCCATATCTTAGCTATGGTAAATAATGCTACAATGAACATGATTGTGCTGGTGGATTTAGTATGGCCTTGTTTATAGTCATTTGGGTAAATGCCCAGGAGTGGGATTGCTGGGTCATAGGGGAGCTCTATGTGGAGTCTTTTGAGGAACCTCCATACTGCTTTCCAGAGTGGCTGAACAAGTTTGCACTCCCACCAACAGTGTAGTAGTGTTCCCTTTTGGCCACACCCCCACCAGTATCTTTTGTTATTAGATTTCTTGAATAATGGCTATTCTAACTGGGATGAGATGGATTGTTTTTAAGGTACATTTCTTTTTCTTTTCTTTCTTTCTTTCTTTCTTTCTTTCTTTCTTTCTTTCTTTCTTTCTTTCTTTCTTTCTTTCTTTCTTTCTTTTTTTTTTGCTAGTCGTGGAGCCTGAACTCTGGGCCTGGGCACTGTCCCTCAGTTCTTCAGCTCAAGGCTAGCACTCTACCACTTGAGCCACAGTGCCACTTTTGGCTTTTTCTGCTTGTGTGGTGCTGAGGAATCAAACCCAGGGCCTCATGCATGCAAGGCAAGCGCTGTACCACTGAACCACCTTCCCAGCCCCAGGTGCATTTCTTTTATGGTCAGAGATATTGAGCATTTCTTCATATATCTATTGCCCATTCTTATTTCCTCTTCAGAGAAGTCTCTCTTTAAGTCTTTAGCCCACTTATTAATGGGGTGGTTGGTTCTTTGGGGATTTGAATTTTTTGAGCTGTAAATATATTTTAGATATGAGGCCTTTGTCTGTTGTATGGCTAGTGAAGTCTGTGGGCTTTCTATTTATCTTGCTAGCTATGTTCTTTGCCAAGAAGAAGTTCTGCAGTTTAATGCAATACTATTTATCCAACCTTTCTTTGATTTGTTGTGTTTCTGGGTCTTTATTAAAGAAGTTTCAACCTGTGCATTATAATTTCTGCATTTGAAATTAAGCAGATGGAATTACAGTGGTAATGAGAAGGCAGACAACAGTGTGATACAATAAAGATACCCCCATTGGTGAATGTACACACTTCACCTGCTATGAATTAATACTGGCAAAATCACTTCTACTTCCAATTCTTCACTTAGCAAATGAGAACAAATCTGTATCTATATATGTTATAATGTTTTAGGAAAAAATAGGGAATGTCCGACAGTGACTTGATTTCTTCAAAAGGAAGGTATTTTATAAAGTATTGGGAGTTTTGTCCCATTTCAATACATTTGAAATTGTGAGGAGGTTAAGAAGCAGAAAAAAAAAAGCCACCCAAATGACTATAAAACCTAAGAAGTTAGTGTGTCCCTGCTGCATGGGTCCTGAGAGAAGGCCTTAGATTCCTGAACTAGTGACCAGGGATCTTGCTAGTCACAGCATGAGCGGCCATCAGCATGGCATGATCCTGGTTGCACTGGCTCCCCAGGTACACACCCACAGGGCAACATGGAAGGCCAGTGAGGCCACATGTGCAGCAAGGAAAATGACAAGAGGCCCTCTCTCAGGGAACCCCTTGCTTCTAGAACAAGCAGGAAGCAAGGAGCTTAGTTGCAGCATAAGAACTACAGTGTGCTGTCATCTCAGCAATCAGGTACATGAACAAGTCTGACATGTGGCCCAGGAAAAAGAACAACCAAAGCTCTGGGAGTTTGGGCATATGTAGCAATAAGTATAGGAGCACAAGAGACTCCGACCTAACTATCTGACTGCATACAAGGCATAATAATGCACATAAATAGACCTTTCCTGGGGGACTGGGGTTTGAATTCTGGACATTGTGCTCTACCATTGAGCCATGTCCCTAGTCCACAAATAGATTTTTAAAATAAAATTCTATAGTTAATTAAAAAACTACAATGCAAGAAAGGAAAAAAAATTTTTTACAGTGCTATTTTTCTGCTTTTGGAAAGAAAAATCACAAGATTAAAATATTAAGACCCTTGACTTTGTATCACTTACATTAACAGATAGCAATATATGAAAACTATTATGTGGCTTCCACAGACTTAAAAGTTATTTTTAAAACTGTAGAAGTAACTTCCACATCACAGATATTTCCTCAATAAATGGTTGATTTCTATGTGTGAAGAGTAACATTAAGTTGATTGGCCCACTGTGGATGCATGGGGATGAGGTCAATAATATGTACGGGGAAAAAAGGAAAGGTTATGGATGGGTGCCAGTGGCTCATGCCTAATAATCCTAACTACTCCGGAGGCTGAGATCTGAGGATAGTAATTCAAAATCAGCCTGGGCAGGAAAGTCTATGAGACTCTTATTTCCAGTTAACCATCAGAAAACTGGAAGTGGATATGTGGCTCAAAGTCATAAAGTACTAGCCTTGAACAAAAAAGCTCAGGGACAGGCCCCAGACCCTGAGTTCAGGCCCCATGACCAACCAAAACAAGAAAAGGGAAGGTCATGTGGGAAGTTGAAGTTACAGAGGGAAGAAGAAAGATATGGTTGGCGTACTCCAATAGCAATAAGTCTGGTTTTCAATCACAGGTGCCCATGGATTATGTATGTAATCTTAGCCCCTCAGGAATTGGAGACCTGGAAGATCTCAGTTTGAAGCCAGACCAGGCAGAAAAGTTTGTGAGATACCATCTCCAAACAAACAGCAAAAAGCTGGGCTGGAGGCATGGCTTAAGTGGCAGAGTACCATCCATGAGCAAGAAAGTCAAGCAAGAATATGAAATCTTGAGTTCAAGCCCCAACACACACACACACACACACACACACACACACACACACACAGAGCGAGAGAGAGAGAGGAGAGAGAGAGAGAGAGAGAGAATATATGCAGGGGAGGGATTCCACATCTTGTTTTCTCTTCTTTATGCTGTGAAAATGTGGATAAAAGCCAGTACTTCTCAGCCAGGTTTTGAAGTGCATCTCTAGGTGCCAGATGCCCATTAACCCCACCAGCTCCCTCTACATCTCTTCCACATAGGCATTGTAGAGCTTCTCTTGTCTTCTGAAGCATTAAACTTTAAGAAGACCACATGGAATAAACTATAAAATATTGACATAGAACTGAACTCGATTTTTATATTACTTTATATCAATAACTGTATCCTTCTACTTTTATATTACTTTATATCAATGAGTTTAGCCTACTTAGTAATATGTAAGAATATTAAGTATGTTTCTTGTGTTTAAACATTTAATTTTTTAAATTCCAGAATGTTTAAAGCATCTGAGGATGGAATCATCCTCTTCCTAGGACTTTAAAAAAAATTTAAGACTTTTTTTTCTTGTTAAACCTGCAGATACAACAGGTACTTATTAGGCAAGTACTCTAACACTTGAGCTATAACCCAGGCCAATGTATTTTTTAAGAATAGAAAAAGAAAGTTTTAACATTTTCAGAGACACTGTATGTCTATATAAATAGATGTATGATATCTGGGTAACTTTTAACTTGTACTCTTAAGAAGAGCCTATGATGCTGGGTGCTGGTGGCTCACACCTGTCTAGCTACTCAGCAGGCTGAGATCTGAGGATTACAGGTCAAAGTCAGCCAAGGCAAGGAAGGTCACGAGACTCTGATCTCTAAATTAACCATCAAAAGCCAGAATGGAGCTGTGTGGCTTGAGCAGAAAAGCTCAGGGACAGCCCCTAGACCCTGAGTTCATGCACTAGGACTGGCATGCACCCCCCCACACACACAGACTAAAAACATCATTATTTATAGGTATATTGACTCGCTTTTGGTTTCCAGTCTCCATTTAAGAGGATAAATTTGAAAATCTACCAATGTCAATTTTCATTGAATAACTTGGTGCTTAATAAAATCAACACTCCACTAAAACTGCTAAATATTCATGCCCTCTGTGTGTGTGTGTGTGTGTGTGCGCGCTGTGTATGTGTGTGTGTGCTCTGTGTGTGTATGTGTGTGTGTGTGTGTGTGTGTGTGTGTGCGCGCCAGTCCTGGGATTTGAACTCAGGGACTGGACATTGTCCCTAAGCTTCTTTTGCTTAATACTAGTGAACCAACAAGCCAGAGCTCCACTTGCAGCTTTTTTTGGAAATTAATTGGAGATAAGAGTCTCACAAACTTTCCTGTCTGGGCTGGATTTGAATTATGATCCTTAGATCCTAACCTTGTGCTCAGCTTTTCCCCATTACCTTTAAAAGTGAGGTTTCATGTTAATTTGACACTATTAAACTTTTCCAAGAAAGTATCACATACACAACAGCTCTTACATGAGTGGGTTCTGGATTGCAAGCAACTGAATCTGTAACTGGTTTAAGATAGGATTTACTAGAGTGTGGAGCTGTTATACGTCATAGGGGTACAAGCTTATCCTGCCAGCTACTGCAGGAAGTTGAAAACAGGATTGCAGTTCAGACATGGGCTTGGGCAGAAAGTGAGACCTCATCTCAAAACTAACTAGTTATAATGCAAAAATGAGTTATAAGAGCTGGGCATCAGTGGCTCACGCCTGTAATCCTAGCTACTCAAGAGGCTGAGATCTGAGAATTGCAATTCAAAACCAGCTCAGGCAGATCTCCAGTTAATCACCAAAAAGCTGGAAGCAGAGCTGTGGCTCAAGTGGTAGAGGGCTATCTTTGAGCAAAAAAAAAAGCTTAAGGACATCGCCCAGGCCCTGAGTTCACACCCCAGAATAGCACAGCAAAAGGGAGGGGATTATAAGTATACACTGCTAAGGTGCCTTTCCTGATAAGCTCAAAGCCCTGAGTTCAAACCATACCACACACACACATACACGCACCAATTAATTCTACTGTCTTCATATTACAGTTTAGAGAGTTCAAAACACAAACTTCCAACTGTGTTATAGTTCCTTTAGTCAAAATTTAACTTATATGTCTTTTGTGTTTAGAAGTATTTGGATATATGTGTGTGTGTGTGAATACTGAGGCCTGAACTCAGAACCTGAGCTCTGTCCCTTAGCTTTTTAACTCAAGGCTGGTGCTCTACCACTTGGGCCGTAGCTCCACTTCTGGCTATTTGCTGGTAAACTGGAAATAAGAAGCGCATGGACTTTCCTACCTGGGCTGGCTTCAAATGGCAATTCTCAGATCTCAGCCTCCTGAGTAGCTAGGTCTCTCTGTGTTTAAAGTTTGAACTCCATTCACCATTTATCACTGCCTTCTAAGAGGACCATCAAGACCCAAATGAAATAGTCTTGTGCCAATTACTTGTGATAGATTACAAAACTGAAGCTGTACTTCATTAGGCAAACTGCAAAATGATCTATTCTTCTTCAGACCAAGTTGATGTTTTAAATAAAAAGAAAACAAAAAATAGCTTTAAAAGGACTAAAGGAAAATGATTATGATGTTCTGCTACGAACTTAGATACTTCAATAGTTCTGATCACCAAAATAAGAATAGTTTTATGTGTTTTCTAAAGGAAATTTTTTTAACACGGTGGAGGATGGAAAGCAAAATCATCTATATAGGGTCCTGAAAATTCAGAATGATTCTGATAGACCAAAAGGTCCCCCTGGAAGGAAGGAATCTTCAGATGCAGCCAAGGAGATGGCCTTTGCTTCATTCACAAACTTCCAGGGTCTGACCACCTAGCACTATGAAGAACTTAGTAAGGAATCCTTCCAGACCTAGCCTGCCCAGGAAATAGGCTAAACCCAGGGCCAGAATACTGAAGTATGATGGTGCCCGGGAGTCTTTCCTAGGAGGAAACTAGAGCTGAGAAGTTCAAAATGCCTTTTTCCCCCTCTTCTAAAGTACTGAATTTTGATATGCATTAATATTGCATCTGCCTGCTATTTTTGAGAATGAACTATGATGTGGCTACTAAATCTTTAAAGTGTTTGCATTTTTTCAAAGTCTAAAAAGGTTACATATAACCCTTAACTCCTACTTTATACTAAAGTGGACGCCAGGAGACAGCATTAGCAAGAGACCCACGGAAGCTCCTAAAGTTCCCCCTCATTCACAAAAGAAGAAATCAAATAGGCAGCTACATTTCAACCAAAATAACTAAAAGACAGCACTGGGGATGAACAAAGGGGAAGCAGAAGCCCTGAAGAGCACAGAGGCCCAGGATAGGCACAAAAGGCAGAAAAGGACACACATTACCTCTCCCATCCATCTCGCGATCAGTACAGCTCAGACCCAGGAGGAACATCCCTTGTTAGGACCCCAGAAGCCCACATTACCCTCAGACATGCACAATCTTTGCTACTGGAGAGTTCAGGGTCCCTCCCAGGCTCTGAGCTCAGCCAGGGGTGCTCCACAGAATCTACAAGCTGAGCTACATCAATCAGGAGTAGCTACAGTGCTCTGCTTTGTGCTGCTGTCCCTCTGCCCCATCTGGACCAGAGCCACTGTGAGAGTGCGCACTGCTCCGTAGCCATGGCCTCTCTCATCCTGTCCATCCTCGAGGCTCTGCCACCGCTGTCCCGTGTGTATGCCCTAGCCCACTGTCCCTGAGCAGAGGGGCTGTGTCATGCTTTTGCTTTAGCACAAAGTCATCATGCAGCCACTTCATTTCCTCCCCATCCATCCCAGGCCCTGGAGCACCCTCCGTTTGAGGCCATGCTGAAGTGGTGACTGGCTCCTAGAAATGCAGGATTTTAAATTACTGGAGCAGCCACACCTCCAGCATCATACTCAAGGCATCCACCAGGGACCCCAGGACTCCTGTACACTGACACCATTATACTTCCTTTGACCCCAGCTACTATAGCTGAGGCAGTACCTTGCCCTTCAGACTTCCAGTTCCCAGAGACTCCCACCCCCTACCGTGTAGAGAGCTGCCTGCAGCCGCACCTGGAAGATGGCGCCGGCTTCCGCCCTCCTCCTTCCCGATGGGGAGTGCTCTCTGTGGTAAACAACTCCTTATATGGCTAAGGCAAAGAATCTGGCTTGCTTCCGCGCACCTGAACCTATAGGTGGTTCCCACGTTGGCTACCCAGCGGGTACTTAAGGCTGTGGGGAATTTTCCCCGGGGTTGGGGTCAGAAGAATGCTCAAAGGTCCTGAGTAAACTGCAGAGAGAAGAGTTCGGTGTTGCCTCTTCCTTGCTGGTCGAGGCGGTGGCGACACTACCGCAGGTGGAGTCTCCCAGCTCCCAGCATACCAGAGCATTGGCCCCTCCTAGCACACCTTTGGCAGGGTGCTGTCTTCAACCAAGGACGTAAAAATTCTACTGACCCAAACAGCTGTGCTTTGTGGACCTGAGCAAGCATGGCTTCCTAGTCCCGAGTATTTGTGCTATGACTGAGATTTGCACCTGCCCACCCCCCTCCAACACAGTCACAGTATGCCACCTACCTAGGACTAGACTAGTGCCTCCCAGTCCCAGCTTCCGAAGTACCCCCAACTCCCCAGGAAATAGAGCCATCTCTGACGTCCCTGCACCCTAGGGCACCCTGGGTCCAAACCACGGCATCCCAAGCATCCCTAGGATCTCACTGCTGCCGCCAAGGGACTCTCAGAGCACGGGCTGCTCCTGTATGTCACCTGCCTGTCATTCACAGTCACACCATATCATACGCTAGAGTCCAAGGTGCCATTGTGGCCTATTGGTTCTGGGTCCCAAATTATAGCTGCACCATGTTGTTTAGAGCCCAGAGCTCTAGAGCATCCTTTATTTCCCAGAGTCATGCCAGTGCCGTGCCTGTCCACAGGGTCATAACTGTAGCTATAGCCAAGTCCCCTGGACCTGGGCTGCTGGGCTGTGTATCAGAGCAGCAGCCACCAACTTACGGGGAGGAAATGCATTTGGTCATGGTGCAGAATGCAAATGTCCACTTCCACTCGCAGGTGCTACACAGTTTTTTACAATATCCTGAATCCAAAAAGCTGGTCCTAGAGCAACTCTCTAAGTTTGAGTTCCAATGCCACCAGGGCTTCCTGTGAGCTGTGGCAGATTCCACACCAAGAGGGATCCCTGGAGCTATGACTCGCCAGGGTAAGAAAGACAAAGAAGATCCCTTGGCTACTAACTTAGTTCTTTTTGCTCTCCCCAGATAGGAATTGTGGGTAGGAGAAGAGTTGTTCCTCCAGTGTTGGAAATTCCAGGCTCTTGAGTGTCTGGCAGATGAACAGGTACACTGCTCCATACCCTGAGCCTTAAGCTCCTATTGCCTGAAACCTGAATCTAGTCAACTATGTTCAAGGTTTATTGCTCTGGGCTTTAACTCCCAGCAGCTTTGTAGATCATCAGCTTCCAGCAGCAGTGGGCTGCAACAGGAGTCAGTTGCAAGCAGCATCGGGTAGCACCTTCTAGCGCCAGCTCTCCTACACAACTTGGGTGCTGGGACTTTCTGTCCCACAGTGACAAGTGATACAGCTATCAGGACTCCCACTCCTTAAGAGTGACAAGTGTGATTCTTGGGACCAAGGATGTCTGGGATCTTGTCTCTTAAGGCATGGCAGTATGGAACTCTTCCAGCAACCAGAGCCCATAGTTTCTTAACTTCAGCTCTTCACAACCCTTGTAGTCTCCATTGCCTCTGCTCTCCATCATTTCTACCCCAGACACTCTCTGGAGATTGTCAGCTGCCCTCTTATTGCTACTGTTGTTGTTGCTGCTGCCACTGCCAAGAGAGTAGCAACTGCTGAGTACAGGCAGTCCTGAACTTAACAATGGACTTACTGCTGGCATGACCGTCACTGATGGTTTGCTTCTGTTACCAGCTCAGGCTGTGCTACCAATGAGCAAGATCAAAAGTAGGATAAACAGGGGGGGGGGAGAGTGAAGGAGGGGAGGAAGAGGGAAGGAAGGGAAGGAAGAAGAAAAGATGGAAATGGGTCAATTCTTCCAAATAAATGAATTCCAGTAAGTTGGAAAATAATGCAGAAAATGCATCTCCATTAGATTACTTCAGTTACAACTACTTTGAGCAAGGCCTACTGATGAACATTAAAATTAGTATGCAAAGCTTTAAGACAAATAGGGCGGCCATATGGTTTTCATCTCCTGTCATGTATTGAGTAACAACTGTGGTGGTTTTAACGTGTGCCTACAAATTCTTAAACACTCTTTCCTCCAGAGGTGGTACTTAATTGCCCTGGACCAGACCTAGTAAGTCCAGTGGACTGGAGTTGGTAAGCTTAGAGGATAAAATATAGAAAAGGACAATTGTATTTCACAGTGGGAAGGTGTGGCCCACACCACCTCAGCCAAATCAGTAGTCAGGGCCAGCATCACCAGAAGCAACCACACTGATAGCATGTATTTCAAATTCACAAATCTCAAGTCCTTAGCATGAGAAACTACCATACGATGGTACGCTGAATGATGCTCAGCCTTACCGTCAGTGTCCTCATCCCCTCATCCCCAGCACCTGCTCCTATCTGGCAATCTCTGCTGTGAATCACAACATATCAGTAATTAATGGCATCTTGACTGACCTATGCAGACTGAAGAATGATGTGAACTTCACAGTAAGTGTGTGATTGGTGAAGGGTTGAGTAAAAAGATGAGTCTGGTTATGTACCCTCAGTAAAACTGTCCTATCATTTAAACATTTCTATGAGAAAGATTAATTTACCTCATGTTTACTTACACTACTTTTTCCAATTTGTAAGTTCATTGGCAAGTTCAGAACTGCCTGTACTCAGACAAGAATTGTAGCTCTGAAATCCCTAGATAGATTCGAGGCAACATTGAAAACATTGGCTTTTAAAAATGCCTGATGCCAAAAGAATGACGAATACTTGTAACATGGTACTTTATTCCTTAGGATACTATGAAATGTTTTGTATCTTAAAATGTTAAAAATCAATACCTCATTTTGCTTTATAACTGGTTTAAAAAACACATAATATCCTTTAGAGGCTAAAACAACAAATATAAATCCAATTTTCCTAAGCCTATTAAAATTTTAAGAGAAACAGAAGAGTTCTACCTAATCTCTTAGGAACAAAAATCCATATCAACAAAATGGATCACCACTAAGTTCATTCAAAGATTAGACAGAAAACATTTGAATATGATTTAAATAAATGGACATACACAATTATTTATCTCAAATATATACCTCAGTGGTAGGAATCAAAGATCAATACTTCTTTGATTAGTTTATTAAATTAATGAAAGAAAGAATTACTTCTTGAGGGCTAGGAAGGTGGCTCAGTGGTAGAGCGCTTGTCTTGCATGCATGAGGCCCTGTGTTTGATTTCTCAGCACCACATAAGCCAAAAAGAAAAAAAAAACCCGGAAGTGGCACTGTGGCTCAAGTGGTAGAGCACTAGCCTTGAGCTGAAGAGCAAGGGACAGGGCCCAGGCCCAGAGTTCAGGCCCCACGACCAGACTTCCCCCCACCCCCAAAAAAGAATTACTTCTTGAAATGAAAACCACTGTTATTATGTTTCATATTATTTTCTAAAACCCTAAAATTAAAGCAGGAATTGGGACAATAGAAATGGAAAAAAATTAATTTGACATGATGTTTTTGTACTGTTAAATTGCATTTCCTTAACCTGATTAAGAAAAGATAATTGGTATCATCATAATATAATAATACAATCATAACAATTTTATCACAAGAAAACCTTTTATACTTTTTTTTAACCTCTTTGAGATTTCCTTGGCTGGTTGGATGAACAACAATGACTTCAGCTTTTCTAAATCTTGGTTCTTAAAAAAAAAAGTATATTTACATTAAATGAGCCTATTTGTCCCCTCAGATACAGCTTCTTCCAAACATTTGAAAAGGATTTATAGCCTGGAGAACATAAAGTGTTATGTTTTTGAAATAGTGACTTTTAATGTGCATATGAACTTTGTTGAAATAACTCAAAGAAATAGATGTATTAAAACAATTGAAACACCAAGTAAGGAAGTTACCATCATGTAACAAGCAGACAGGGTCAACTATAACTAAGACAACGGGACTATTCCAGTAAACAGAAAGTTGTATGTACAGCGAAATATAGGGTTTTTTTGAGTTATGGGTGTGAGTCACTCAAATGTGGCTTAACCTCAGGTTGAATAAGTTCACCAAACAGACTTTAGGAACTCTTAAAGGAAGGTCAACAGTTACAATTCCTGCCTCACCTATGGGGGATATATCCCCAGTGGATGTCTGGAACTACAGGTGGTACCAAATCCTAAATACAATCTTTTTGTTTTGTTTTTTGT